ATGACTGATAGAAGAAAAGGGGGGGGCAGGGAACACGGGACAGGACACCATGGCAGGGGACACAGTGGATGACCACACACACACACACACACACACACACACACACACACACACACAGAGTTTTTTTAAAAACATAATATAATATTTTAAAAAGAAGCATATTTAAAGCATCTATAGTACCTATCGGGATGATGGGGTAATGAGACTATCTGAATATGTCCCCTTTCTTGCATGGCAGACAGATGTCACAAGCTTCTCAGGTGTGGGAAATGTTCAGAGGACATGGGCAGGAGGGCTAGGGTGCAGCTGATCACAAGAAAAGGCCGGCAAGGGGACATACATGTGGACACCTGTGGCCGTGAGGAGACACAGACCCAGGCATGGATCCACATATACACTGGACTGTATGTAAGCAGCATTGTACAGAGACACACATGGCTGTGTGTGAATGACAGCATGCAGAGAGATACATATGGCTCCGTATGCATGGGTTCCAGCATATCAGCAGTGCGGAGTGACACATGTGGTTCTGTGTATGTGAATAGCATGTGTGTATGTGTATATGTATGGGTGGGTCCATGAATGTATGCATGTGTCGTGATTTGAAAGAAAATGGTCCTCAAAGGGAACGGCACTATTAGGAGGTGTGGCCTTGTTGGAGTAGGTGTGGCCTTGTTGGAGAAAGGGTGTCACCGTAGGGGTGGGCTTTGAGGTCTCCTATGCTCAAGCTACTCCCAGTGTCACAGACTACTTCCTGTTGCCTGCGAGACATAGAACTCTCAGCTACCTCTCCGGCACCGTGTCTGCCTGCACGCCCCCATGCTCCTCACCTGGATGATAATGGACTACACCTCTGAAACTGTAAGTCACCTCAATTAAATGTTTCCTTTATAAGAGTTGCCATGGCCATGGTGTCTCTTCGCAGCAACAGAACTCCTGACAGTATGGTATAGCATATGCTATGTACGGATAATACGTGTACAGGAGATATTCATGTACGTGGATATGTGTGGATATGTGTTCAGGAAAGAGGGAGCCTGTAAGAAATGTGGCCGAGTTTCCCGTGGATCCAGAGGAGCGCAGCAACTGTTCGTTGGGGAAACAGAGGTTTCTTTCTGATCCTCTTGGGACACTCCTTCTATCTCTTCACCTCAGGGGACTCAAGATGACGCAGCAGAGGTGGGAAGAGATGCATCATCCCCCCCGGGGCTCAAGAAGTTGTTCCTGCAGAGTCCTCAAAACCACCAGGCAAGGATCCAGGAGAAGCTGAGCAAGGCAATGTCTTAACAACCAAACTCAAGGCAGGGAGAGCAGTGGGTGGGGGCCCCCGAGGGACCTTACCTCTCAGAGCTGAAATTTAATGTTCCCTTGCACGAAACTGATCTGAGTGTGCCCTGATGACTGCAGACTCTAGAACCATCCACACCTGTCACAAACACAGTAGGCTTTTATTTTTTTACAGCCTTCAAGAACCAAGACTATTTGGCTAGTCTGGGTCCCATGAGGCTCTGCACAGCTGGAATGCTGGTGAGAGCTGTGTGGATCTGCAAGCAGCTGGGCTGGACTACTGACGACATCTCAGAACTTCCTTGATTTCTGTTGTTTAATGTTTGTGCTGTTTAACGGTTTTAAAATACACTTTACACTTCTTTTGTTAACTTTATCCCTTGATATTTTATGAATTTTTGAAGCTATTATAAGCAGGCTTTTTCTCGTGACTTTTTTTTTTTGTGTGGGTTGTTTGTTGACAGTATGCACACATGCTCGCTCTTGAATGTTGCCCTTGTGTCCTGCAAGCTTGCAGAACTCATGAGTTCTGGCTGTTTTCTAGTGGATTCCTTTTCCTAATTCAAGGCCCGGCATCTATAAACAGATAGTTTCACTTCTTGCTTCCCAATGTGGATGTCTTTTATGTTCTTTTCTTGCCTAACTGGCCTGGCTGCTCTTCCAGTACAGTGGTGAATAGAAGCAGTGAGAGCGGACCTCGGTGCCTTGTTCCTGACCTCAAGGGGACTGCCCAGCCTTAGCTGGATTAGCTCTCCCTTTTCCATAAATGTCATTTAATAAGTTGATAGAGTTTTTTCCAGAGGGTATGGATTTTGCTGAATGCATTTTCTGGATCTGTTGCAAAGTCCACAAGATATTTTTACTCTACTGATATAATGCAATGTGTTAATTTTCAGACGTTAAGACAACTTTGCTCTTCTGGGGTGAATCCCACTTGGTCATAGGTATATAAACTTTCCGATGTGTTGCTAGATTTGTTATCTTTTTTTCTTTTTTTTTAAGTGAGGGTTTTTCTTTGCAGCCCTGGCTGGCTTGGAGCTTGCTATGTAGATCAGGCTGCCCTGAAACTCAGAGACCTACCTGCCTCTGCATCCCAAGTGATAAAATTAAAGGCATGCACCATCCAAGACTAGCCTGGTTTGCTATCATTTTGTTAAAATTTTCTGTGTCTATGTTCACATCTGTATGTTCCTGTCTGTAGTTTTCTCTCT